GGTAGGGAAAAGAAGGTGCCCGATGAAGCGAAATTTGTTTAACCATTACTATTACTATTACCTTTAGTCTTACTAGTCTGAGTATGTATTCTTTTTATGAGTAGTATGCTGTTCTTAGTACTTCGGAGCCTGAAAGACCAAGCCTCCAAAGGGCCAAGAGTGCTCGTTGCTTTCCAAGCGCCTGAGTGTCGGAAGACCTTGGCCCCTACGCCCTCCACACCGCGCCTGTACCCAGAGAGCCCAATACCCCTTCATTGAGGACTATACCTTAAGCCATAATATTAAGGATGCTATAATTCAAGGTATATTTTCTTAATTAAGGGGTAGTGGGTTCTCTGGGTACTTCGTAGGTGATGGAAATTTGGAGTTTGGGACTGAGGGTTTGAAGGTTTTTGTTGGGCTTGGTGCTAAGATGGCTCAGGGTCGTTTATAGGGTTTAGCGATGTTTAGCGTGCCGAGCTACGTGTGTAACGTGTGAGTTTCGAAGTTAATCCGCGACTTTGCGCAGGTGATCAAGGATATTATCAAGTGCCCAATTGGAAAGTGCAAGGTGAAGAAGTGCAAGAAGAAGGCGCGTGGCACGTCTGCTGGGCTTTCGCTCAGTAGGATCTCCCGCGCATCATTCCGCAGTCCGTCATCTCCGGCAACCAAGAATCAACAGACCATGGCGTCCGTTTGGGGTGTGGGTCTGATTCTGATGTTGCAATTATGTGGTTGTGATGTCCTAAACCCTGAAACTTTTAGCCCTTAGCAGTAGGCGAGTTTGGCCGAAGGCTCTCAAGTGCGAAGCACCAAAGAGTTGCTTCAAGGCAATCCCTTTCATGGACGCTTGGCTGCTAAAGGTGTTTAGGGTTTCGAGGCTTTCGGGTTATGTTAAAGCTTTTCCCTGAGCTCTTAGCATCAGAAGAAATGCATCCTACCATCGTGTGATTTTCCTTTGGGCTTCTTGGCTCTTTTCCTGTTGAGGTAGCTGAAATCGGCGAACAGCCAATTAAGGACTGCTTGGACAACCTTGCAAAGGACATGGGCGGCCACGTCAAGGCGGCCGTCAGTGTCCTGAAGAGCACAGGAGCGACCGGGTACAAGAAGATGAAGAATGTGGTGCTGAAGGGGATCCCGAGTGTTACCAAAAAGCTGGGCAAGAGCTTAGCCGACCTCATGCCGAAGGAAGTGGAGAAGATCTTCACAAAGCAGGGTTGGGAGAACCTCTTTCACAGCTTTTTGGGGGCAGCCCAGGACATGGCGTACACAGTCTATGACGGCCTCACCACCGTCGGAGATGTCTTGGACAGCTTCCTTGACAAAGTTGCGAGCGGCCCCATCACCCTGCCTCGAAACGCCGAGGATGGGGGCTGGTGCGTGTTCAAGTGGGACTTCACCATGTTCTGGTTCACGGACTGTGGCTACTTCGGCGCCGTGGACACACTCTGGGGGCACGTGGCGCAAGCGTACAACCCCAAGATGTGGGGCAAGTTTGGCCACGACTACAAGAAGATGGGGAAAGCGCTGGCAAAATGCGCCACCCTCGTCACCAAGATCGACATCGACAAGAAGCAATCCATCAAGATCCCCACTCCCTTTATGAGCCTTCAGACGATGGACTTTTGCTTGCCGAAGACAGTGGTCTCAGGAGTGGAGGTCATTGCAAATGCCCTAGTTCTGGCCCACAAAGCCGCAGGCAAGGCCCTAGGTTTAGGGTTTAGGGTTTAGGGTTTAGGTTTTAGGGTTTAGGGTTTAGGGTTCTGGCCCACAAAGCCGCAGGCAAGGCCCTGGATCCAATCCAGAAGGCGCTCGACGATCTCGCCGACTACGTGAAGAGGCTTATCTCCGACAACTCCCTCCTCTTCCAGGATCTAAGGGCTGGAAACTACCTGGCTATATAAGGGGTATATAAGTTTAGGGTTTAGGGTTTA